AAGCCACCTCACTGAATGTTTTTAAGGCAAGGCTAGATAAATTTTTGGAAAGTAAAGGAATTAAGGGTTATGGTGAATGGGCGGGTAAGTGGAGCTGAGTCTCAAAAAGATCAACCATGATCTTATTAAATGGCGGGGCAGGCTCGAGGGGCCAGATGGCCTACCCCTGCTCCTAGTTCTTATGTTCTTAAGACAAGAACCTCTTGTCCTTCAACTACTAAAATTGTTTTCTTCTACCACACTGGACCATACAGATTCTATGGATCACAGTGAGGAAATGTGTAGGTACCAGCAAATCTAGATCATACAATATGATGAGCAGGGGTGAGAATTCATCTTTCTACATTCTTGGGTGTCAGCCTCAACTCAGTACCAGTACTGACATCTCTGAGTTAAAAGGTTGTAGGTTCAATTCCAACTTGAAATGAGCACAAAGTCCAAGCTGACACCAAGGACACCTTTTCTCACTAAGATAGAAGGGACAGCGCACGGTCCAGTTGAGAGCAGCAAGGTTCAAAGGGACATAGATGGATTAAAGGGGTGGACTAAATTTGGGCAGGTGTGATATCATTGACTTTTGATCCAAGATAAATACATCAGTCTATTTTCTTAATGGTGACAAACTTGGGATAGTAGAGGGGCAAGGATAGTTGGAGCTTTCAACGAGAAGATAATTATTTTCCTCAAAATTTGAAGGTATTAAGCATAATGAAATAAGGGTGTGAACGTGGAGTTGAAATCCTGAATAAGTTTGAGCTAATTCAGTGGTGAAGCTTCATAGACTGATTGGCCAAATCTTGTTCCTATGTTCTTTGTGCTGATAGTAATTAAAATAAAGAACTTATTTATAAATAGCTTGTATCATAAAATACACTTCTTTAAATGATAGAATTAGAATGTTTATGATAGGATTAGAATGTTTAAACTTCAGCTGAGAAGACCTACAGGGTCACAATTATCACTGACAGTACAGTACAGCATTGCTACTACACTGCAGTGTCAATCCAGGTTATGGGCCGGATCCTCACAGAGACAGGAGGACTGCGCTGATCTTTAAAATAGTGGGTTGGAGCTGACCAGGGATTCCATCCCTTTTTCTGATGGATCCCATTTTTGCCGATACAGGAAGAGGAACAGGGCATGACCTAAGTGATAGATACTTGAATTCAACTAAGCCTTTTGAACAAAGTGCTGAGTTCAAACATATTTTATTTTTGCTATAGCAAGGACCTTAACCAGTACCAGTTACGCATTTATGAAGTTGTAAAGGCTCATGAAGTGGTCAAGGTCTGTAGTATTGTGAATCTGTAAAGTATTGAATCCTCAACCCTTTACAAACTAGAAAAAAAGACTACTTGTGTAAGCAAAAGTTGAAATAAACCTGTTCTAGCAGTTACAATAGCTTTTTGCTGACATTACCCCAACATCTATCATTATTAACCCATGGCTGCTTTCCACTATCTATAATTATCCCAGCAAGTGTGTTGTAAATTCACAGTTTTATGGATAGCTCAAAGATACTATTAAATGTATTAGTTATCTTTGATGTAAGGATATGAATAAATCTCACCCCCACCACCCCCTACACCCAAACAAATAACCAAGATGTAAGCGGCACGACGGGAAATATCCCAACTTATGCTTGCCATCACAGAAGTAAAAATGTGGCTGTGTATGATCAAGTGTCTAGGGCAGTAACTGAACCCATTCTAGTTGCTTCAGATAAAAATATTAGCACGGGTAGACCATAAGCCTGTGATGCCATTCAATACAACCACTGAGCTGAGACTGCAACATAGATATTAAAGTGGGGCTGAGTAATAACATACTCTTTATTGGTTTTCTACATTATAAATAAAAGATACTGACTTCAAATCATGTTCTTAATCCAATACAAGATCCACGCGAGTGTGATGCATCATCACGGTAATTACAATGATGTATCATACTTCCACAATTTTGTATCATGTGATTTAAAAGAGCACTGTCTTCTTTAATAACTATTTATCAAGCCTAATTTTTGCTTGTGGAAGAAAAATTAATAGTGATCTATGCATTAAACAAAGGGGAAATAGCAAACATTTTCCCACTGCGACAGTGCTTCTTTAATAACATTGCCAAGGGTGTAAATTTTCCACCCACTACATTCAAGACAAAATCATGCAATTTCAGCTAATTTCAGCTTCAATGCATTATGCACACTACAGTCCACAAACTTTTAGGCCTACCTCAAAACACATAGTATAACTTTTAAGGGTAACAGAACTTGAAGCATCAGATGGTGCTGCAATACCATCAAACTGAGGAGAGAAGAAGAGTTTAATAACTACATAACATTCAGATAACATAATACCTCAATCAGGAGGAACCTGAACAGAATAAATAAAGTAAGTCTGTTCCCATTGGTGGGAAGGGTTAGAACTAGAAGATACTAATTTAATGTGAATGGCGAAAAAAAACTAAAGATGTAGTGAAGAAAAATATTTTAACACTGATTGATTATGATCTGGAATACACTGCTTAATGTGTGGTACCGGTAAATTTAATTGTGGCTTTGAAAAGAGAATTGAATAATTAGCTGAACAGAACCAAATTTCAGGGCTGCAAGGCAAAGACAGGAGCATGTGACTAGTTAATTTGATTTTGCAGAGAGCTGCCATTGACATGATGGGCGGAATAACTTCCTTCTGTGCTGTAAAATAAAATAAAGGGTACAACTGTAAAAGGGGGTTAGGGTAGTGGGACATGAGTAATTTACAAGCAGAGCTGGTTGTGTACGGTTAAAATCTCGCCTACTGCAAACAGCTGAAGGCACATACTGTTTGATATGATGTTTGAGACATATAGCCCACAGACCTAGCACCAGAGTAATACTGAAATTCACATAACACATTGCTCATTTTGTGTGATAGGCAGAACATCACTTTCGGTTGAAGGCAATATCCTGTTGGTGAAAACACTCAGGTTGATAGGGCATTGAGATAACCTACCCTCCTAGGTAAACTGGGCACTTTTCAGTACTGAAAGTGGTGGTCTTTAGCCCTGTAATAAGTTTGCACAATATATAGTGAGGACCTCTAAACACAATCTCCAATATTAGATATGATTCTGCAATTAGACAGCATTTGCTGAATAATCCTGAGGGTATTAGGAAATGTGCTGACAATCAATTTATGGTTGTCAGTCAGCCTCAGTGTGGTGAATTTGTACAGATGGCAAGATACATATGTTAATACGTAGGCTCTGTTCTTTGCTGATGAGAATATGCAATTGTGCTATGCCTTTCAACTGAACAAAATAGACAATAGCCATTTTCTCGTGCACTCTTCAGAGCAATGCTTTGACCAGAGTCAACCTGCCTTGTTTAAATTTAAACAGAAAGTGGAAGTTAACTGTCAGTCATTATCCAACTGAGGCATTTCTCATGATATCTCTATGAATCTGGTTGGCAAGTAAACTCTATTAGCATACCACTCTACAGTAGAAACATGTTGTTTCCCTTTACACTGCTATTCTTGTGATTTATCCTGATGAGTGCGAGACAAAATGTTTTGACAAAATGTGCCTTATTTTATCAATTTTCAAAAATTTAAGTCTTGCAGCTTTACTTTTCCAAGAGTCCACATTTACCACATGTACTGGTTTCTCAATAAAAGAAGATTTATCCTCTGTGGGTTCTTGTTTCATATGTGCAGTGCGTACAATAGGAACATACAATGTTGCTATGTTGGAATGCTGGCTACTGACATCAGAGTTTTCTTGACCAGGAAACATTACAGAATTAATTGAATAAAGAAAAGAAAATTTTGTTGAAACTCAAATGTGAGCAGAGTTTATGTATAAATTTAATAAAGGCAGTATATTTCAGATGATCCAAGATTGTGTGCAATGATATCATAATAAAATTTGCCAAAGATATCAATGATTTAGTGGAGGAAGAAAATGAAATAAAGCAGTTGATTAGGATATTTTAAATGCTATCCTTAATAATGATTGGATCTTCTTCACATTGAATACAAGACAGATTTACAGTGGACACTCATTGATATTTCTTCTGAATTCAAGAAAAATGCATTAAGAACACATGGATTATCAAGAAGATAAAAGCAATGTTGGATATCTATTATTAAAGAGAATGATGAAAAACTCATGGTAAATGTTTATAATTCTGATAGAAAAGGGCATCTGGTGGAGCAAATTATCTCAAAGTCTCTCCCAGTCTGCTACCAAAACTTTAGGTGTGAGTCAAGAAGCTTTTTTATGTTTTTAAAGTGGGATTTCTAATGGAATTTACTAAAGTAATATCCAAAGAATAAGAGAAGCTCAGAGCAAATTCACCTCCATTATATTAAGAGGGGATTTTGCATCTAATTTTTCTTTGAGTCTTGTAGACACTCTAAATGCTGTTTGTTGCTTAATAGTGTACAATTGTTCATGATTTACCTTGGACTGGCCTTGCTTTTTAAAAATACACTCATAGAATTTGGCGTCACTAGCTGGGCCAGCATTTGCTGGCCATCCCTAATTGTTCTGAAGAAGGTGGTGGTGAGCTGCTGCAGTTTGTTTGATGTAGATACTTCTGCAATGCTGTTAGGGAGGGAATTCCAGGATTTTGACATAATGACACTGAAGAAACGTTAAATTTCTAAATCAGGATGGTGAGTGTCTTGGAAGGGAACTTTGCAGGTGATGATATTCTCACATATCTGCTGCCCTTGTCCTAGATGGTAGTGACTGTGGGTTTGGAAGGCGGTGTCTAAGGAACCTTGGTGAATTTCTGCAGGTGCAGCTTGAAGATGGTACACACTGCTCCCTCTGGTGGAGGGAATGATGTTTGTCAGTCAAGTGTGCTGCTTTGTTCTGGATTGTGTCAAGCTTCTTGAGTGTTGCTGGACCTGAATTCAGCTAGACCATAGGGAGTATTCCCTCACATTCTCGTAACTTGTACATAATGGACATAATTTTTACCTGATAATAACAGAAGACTTTCAAAAACTTACCATGAAGGATTCATTGGGCAGATTAGTCCTCTTCTGCAGTGGAATTAAAGGAGGCCTTTCTCGTTTGAATGGTTGTTTAGTTATTGCCCTTTGTAGTAGGATAGCCAAGAATATAGCCAGAAACAGCAATCCAATGACTGCCATTATTGTGATGAACCACAATTCATTGTAGAACGGAGTATTTGATTGTAATCCTCCTGCTTTCTCCTCAACAGTGGGTATTGTAGAATCTTTAAAACAAGCAGAAGACATTTGCATTTCCTACAAGTAATTAAAACCCTCTTAGGGCTAGACTTTATGCAGCCCATTGCAGCAGAAATATGGAAGCCCCATCAGTTCAATTGCAGGAGATGCCCTTCTTACTTGCCTGAAAAGGTTAAAACTTCCTCTGATTAAGTGGGAATGCACCAGGGATGCAACATGGGATTCCTGGCCACCACAGCATGATGTCGATTAAACATCACATCAGGGTTTTAACAGGCGCTGGAGAGATTTTATGTGGCCCCATCAGGTTGCTCAGTAATTCCTGTTAGATTTGCCAGTGGCTTTCTGGGTAGGGTGAGTGTGGAGAAGATGTCTCATTATTAGGCATTCTGTGCATTGACAAGGGGAGGGATTTTAAAGTCTTCTTGCTAACCCAGCTCCTGCAATTCCACAGGCTCACCACGCTATGGCTGAAGAAATGTCTCCTCATCTCCATCCTAAATCATCTACCCCAAATCCTCATATTGTGTCCCCTGGTTCTGGACACACCCACCATTGGGAACATCCTCCCTGCATCATGGGCGACACGGTGGCACAGTGGTTAGCACTGCTGCCTCACAGCGCCAGGGACCTGGGTTCGATTCCAGCCTCGGGCGACTGTCTGTGTGGAATTTGCACATTCTCCCCATGTCTGCGTGGGTTTCCTGCGGGTGCTCTGGTTTCCTCCCACAGTCCAAAGATGTGCAGGTTAGGTGGATTGGCCATGCTAAATTGCCCGTGGTGTTCAGGGAGGTAGAGGGTGTATATTAGGTGGGTCATAGGGGAATGGATCTGGGTGGGATGCTCTGAGGTTCGGTGTGGACTTGTTGGGCCGAAGGGCCTGTTTCCACACTGTAGGGATTCTTCTAATTTAATCTACCCCGTCTAGTCCTGTTAGGATTTTATATGTCTCTATGACTATTTAATAAGTCTCGCTCATCTGAACTCCAGCGAAAACAATCCTAACCTAGTCAACCTCTCCTCATACGTCAGTCCCACTATCCCTGGAAATCAGCCTGTTAAACCTTCGCTGCACTCCCTCAAGAGCAAGAACATCCTTCCTCAGAAAAGGAGAACAAAATTGCACACAATATTCTAGGTGTGCCCTGTATAACTGCAGCAACACGTCCCTGCTCCTGTACTCGAAACCTTTCACAATGAAGGCCAACATACCATTTGCCTTCTTTACCGCCTGCTGCACCTGCATGCTTACCTTCAGCGACTAGTGCATAAGGATGCCCAGGTCCTGCTGCACACTCCCCTCTCCCAGTTTCCAGCCATTCAGGTAGTAATCTGCAGCCTTGTTTTTGCTTCTGGGGTCTAAGAATACCCCTGGGCTCCTGGTGGGTACAATGCCACCAGTTCCACTGGCACTGGTGGTGACAAGCAGATGCCAACATCAGATTAGCTGGCTGTTCCCAGCAGATGAGATTTAACCACTAGGGACCTCAGTTGGAAGGGGAGGCTAACTTAATACCTGAAGGGCACTTAATTCCATTGGTCCTTTCCCACTGAAGTGACAGGACCTCCCTTTGATTCTCTGAATAGGCAGAGAGACAGTGGTAGGCCCCACAATTTTCAGCCCTTGGCTATTTTTCAGGGTTGTGAGTTTGAAAAAAAATGATCCACGTGCATGAATTTAAGTTTTTTTTTTGAGAAACTGTCGGAAAAAATCTAAAGTTACCTTATTGTACATGGTAAATAAAAACTGAAAGAACTGCGGATGCTGTACATCAGGAACAAAAACAAAGTTGCTGGAAAAACTCAGCAGGTCTGGCAGCATCTGTGAGGGAAAAAACAGAATTAACGTTTCGGGTCCGGCGACCCTTCCTCAGAACATAAAGGTGTAACTACATACCAGAGTCTGCATATATACCATGAGTAATTATTAAAGGTTTCACGTGTCTCTGATCTCATGTAGCTAATCCATGTATGAAAAGGGTGAGGGAGGAAAACATTTCCTTACAGTGGAATGTTTGGATGTAAGAGGTAAGATTAAAAAATATTCACAGCAAGATCTGAGACAGATGCATTATTGAAGTACCTCTCAAAATTGGGTGCCATGTTATTGTACATGGTAACCTGTGTGTGGTGTTAATATTTGTATTATTAAACTCAAAATTTATTTGCATAGCTTCTTCTACATGACTCCACTATTTAAGTTTCATGCTGAAAGATGTTAGAGGTAACATGATTATGGATAAGACTGATGTAACAGAACTGTCCCGCATTAATTCTGCGGTCTGTCTTTCTACAATGGGGATTAAAAAGGACAATTTTCATTTTGTTAACAGCTCCCAACATTGAGAGGTACTTCAATAATCTGATCAGACTGTGAACCAAATTTAAAAAAATGTTAAAATACAGTGAATGATACTAAATATAATTCATATTATTAGTTTACACATATTTGATTATGGTAATAATTGACATTGGTTGATATATTATTTTCATACATGCCTTTTGTTTATTTTTCTTTGTTTAACTTACATGACTACAGCTAATTTTTAAAATTTACATTTCCACTCATGAAGTTAAAGGAATCAATTTTAAACAAGTGATTTAAAACAAAGCAAATGCGTAAAATGCTTACCCACACGTGTTGTGTTATATTTGATGGTGGGAGTACGTGCACTTCCCATATCTGTTGTACATATAACTTGAAATAGAAAAGCTATAACAAATAAGAAAACATAATTCCAGTTGAGCTCAATGTTTTACATAGATTTTTTTTACCACAATAGCAAGAAAATTACATGCTCAGTATTGTCATGCAAACATGCATTAATAAGTAGAAAGATATGGATGCTTTACTACAAGCAGCAGGATTGTGTTAAAATATCAGGCCTACTGACTGGAGACTCAGCAACAGACCCATGTTCCTTTCTTCATGAAGGCCAATCAGGCAGTGGTGAGGCCAGCAGTGGGCCTTTTTACTCAAATCAGGACCCTGGAAGCAAAGGTTCCATCTGTGAAGAGTCGCTGACCAATCAGAGTCCGCCTGATCTTTCATTCAATGGTGCCTGTGGGAAGGCTGTTATTAATGTCAGATTGATAGATAGCAGATTCCTAGGACCAATGTCAGAGAGTGTTTTAGGGATGGGGCTCACAGAGAGAACGGTATATATGGATTGGGAGCAAAGGCGGAGAGGTGGCTTTCAGCATCCCTCTTCTTTCCCAATGGTGAATCCCTTGATGTGGCATTCCTGCTGGGAGCTGGCTGCACAATTCCATGCCACGTGGAAACAAGCCTGCCTGTGTTGTGTTAATGATAATGATCTCATAGTCACTTGTCACTGTTTGATCAGCTCTGTAGGTTAGTTTCCTTAAAACAATAAAACATGTCCCAAATTATGAAGCAGACAAACCAACTGATTTCTGTGAATGCAGTTTGCAACCACTAAGCGGACTGCCAGGCAGGGTCACACATGGCATTCACATGTCTCAAGGAATCTTTAAAGGTGAACTGTCTGAAAGGCAGAGCACACACAAAAAGCATCTCACTCCTTTCTAAAAGAAATTTCAACTGTTTTCTGTAAGCAGTGAATATATTTGTCTGGATAATGCGTAGGTAATTTGCAGATACATCCAGATCTTGTGATGAAAAACTTGTCTGAATGTGCCATTTTTGCCAGTCATCAGCCATGTTGTTTTATCATTCCTGTCTCTGTTGTCAGGTTTTCTTTCGTGGACTGCACTTACCATTTCAGAATGTGCTTGATCCAACACACTACAACCAAGATTTGTTCCAGATTTGCTACTGACTGAATTTGTTCATCATCACCACGTTCCTTGGCATTTATTGTTTTGTTCTTTAAATGTTTCCAACTTATTTTGAAGCTTCTTTGGTTATTTTTTATTTCTATCAAAGTTTTAACCTTCCATTAGTTCAGTATATTTTCTCCTTCATGACTGGCTATAATAACTTTCTTTTGTTTCTTTTTTGTTTTCTTGCAAATTTGGACCTCTTCCACCTATCAATTTAATAGATGTTTGGTTTCCTGCAAGTCCTGTTTGAGTTATTTCACTAGAACAACATTGCGAGCAATTTTTTCTTTAAATAACTGTCTCATGAGTTATTTGCTGTTCTTTGTTTCATGAACATGCACCTGTTTTTGCAGGATTATTTCTCCTGCATTGCTTTGAGTTCAAGCTGATTTTTCAGTAACTCTTCTGGTGTGATCAGCTTTACATACAAGTTTTTTTCACATCTTCCTGTAAATTGGTAATCTTTTCATTGGATTGATGATACTGAGCTTGTAATTTATCCCACTTCCTTTCTTGCTTTTTTAACTCTTCATTCACGTTTGTGAGCTGAGTGAAAGTATCCCTATCTCAAAGATGGTATTATCAAACTGAGATTTGTTCTGAGCAAATAGTTCAGCCCTTTTCCCTTGAACCTGCATTTTTGTCTCCACACCAATTCAGCAGATACATACACCCCTCTCTTTGAGTCCCACCCCTAAAACACTCTCTTGTCATTATCTGCCTTTGGCCTAGACTGCTCCTTGATCCTGGAACCCTGCTGCCTGCCAATTTGACATTAATAACAGCCTCCCCACAGGCACCATTCAATGAAAGATCAGCTGGACTTTGATTGGTCAGCACCTCTTGGAAGATGGAAACTTTGCTCCCAGGGTCCTGATTTGAGCAAAAAGGCCCACAGCTGGCCTCACAATTGCCTGATTGGTCTTTGTGAAAAGAGGAACATGGGTGTGTTGCTGAGTCTCCAGTTGGCAGGCCTGACATTTTAACACTGTCCTGCTGCTTGTAGCAATGCATCCACATCTTTCTACTTATTAATGGGTGTTTGCACGACAATACTGAGTGTGTATTTTTTTGCTATTGTGGCTATTGATTTGTGGCATTCTTCCTTCGTACTGAATTCTGCAAGTGTTTCTTGAATAACCTGTTGCAGTTTCTTTTGTTTCTGATGTTTAACTGATTCCATGGATTATGAGGTTATAGCACACTGCAATTGTTGATCTGGCGGTGACTACCGCGTAGACCAGTTGTAATGTTCGGATGGATTGATTGTGCTTACATTGCAGCAGTATTGGCCCTACACATTGAATTAGTAAACCATTGTATGCTGCAAACGTTACATTTGGAAGTTTCATCGTAGCTTCATAGGTCTGTGGGAAGGCTTTTTGTTGGAAACGAGGTGTGTTGTTTTGGCATTTGCCCCCATGTCAACCTTAGCCAAGAACAAAGAATCACTCTGGTTTTTTTTATATAGACATGTAATTTGAGATTTTGCATGCAATTTAGATGGTGTGAAGGTGTTCATGTTTTCCACAGAATTGACATTGTGAAACATGTGTTCACAACTGTTTGTCTCATCATGTACATCATCAGATTTGGTTAATGTTGAGCTTCACTGGCGTAGCATACTGGAAATCACAACCTGCTATTCCTAGAGTTGTCACAAAATTTGAAGATTTTATAAAAGAACACAAAATTTCCCAATTTGCTTCTCTTTTAGATCCAGGTAAACAGACAGCATGAACCATGGTCTTCTACTTATCAAGATTTACCATTCATTACAAATATGATTCTAACTAGATTCTAACTACAAGTAAACAATTATGAACTGTTGACATATAACTCCACCAGCTAAAACTGTTAACCCCTTATAAAACTCACCCCACACTGAGGTACAGACAGACACAAAGCAAAAATGTATGTTGTGGGCAGAATGAAAGACTGGGAAGGCAATTCTGTGGTCCCTGTCCACAGGGTTCACTGAGAAGATCATTTTGGTTTATTAGGCCTTGCTGCTCCTTGTTCTTCCTTTTCCAGGTACTTTTGCTGGCTTGCAAGAGGCATAGAGTGACTGATTCACAACTCATTAAGACTCTGACTTGATGGTTAAAATCCACAACCTACAGCAACTAATGAAAAGAAATAAACTGGCTTTTTTCAGGCTTGAGGTGTTCTTTTACTGCAGAAGTAAGGACAGCATCTTCCTTTCTGGAGGTCTGGTGGTTTTTGGCTGTGTCCTTCATACTCTCAATCTGTTCAACTACCCAGAAGCCAATTACACAGTTGTCAAAAGGCAGAAGACCTTCCAAAGACCAATCAGCTCCTTGTCATTGACTGCAACCCACTTTGTATACACGCCCTGGCTCCAATCCATCTGCGGTCCTTCCCCCAGTGCTTGAACAAGCAGCAGTGTAAATAGCACTTGCAATTAGTGTCAAGTAACTTTTCTTCAAAAAGTGCAGCAATCCCTTCAACAGTCCTTGTTTCTTTTTATATAACAATTCTTTATCCATTTGAGTCCACAATAAAAAATATAGAAAAATAAAATGAGACACTCTGTACAATTGTCTATTGCTTCATGTATATGTTTCTGGCAGGATCCAAATGGTCATTATTGTAATTTGAAGATATTCTTTGTGCCTAATTTGTTGGCGTCTTTGTAGCTGCATCATCCTTTGCTCTAGTGTCTTGCCACTGTCAATGGCCTTTATTGTTACATATTTTGCAAAATTGATGAAAAGCTGGGAAATTCCATGATGCATGTCGAAGACCAGAGCTTCCACAAATCTTGCTATGTTTGAATGTTCTAAAGATTGTGTCAACCATCAAAGTTGTATTCAGGATCTGTGCGTTTCATTGAGCTGCAGGGATTGCTTTTTACTTGTGTCCATTCTTCAGTAGTTATTCTGGAAAGCTTCCACAGGGGTGGGTGTGACCACCAACTCAACAATTCATTTTGATAGCTCCACACCTTAAAAATCACAAAATAAGCCTTTTTCTCTTCATCTTCTCACAAAGTGATCCATTGATTCTGTAGGCATCTGTCAAATTGCATGAATGCTGGTCAATGAATGCATCTTTCCATTCTGGGTGTGAAAGTAACAGGACATGAATGTGGCTCTGAAACAGCCTAAATGATTATTTTGTGATGTATTCTGTAGATCATCCACACCACAACTAAAGTGCACTCATGATAAAATTTTTGGCTATTGACCCCAGTATTAGCCCACCAATCGAGTGAATTGGATGGATTAAACCTCTTGAATGCTGCTTTGTCTGCACTCATCAAGAAGGTTGATAAGTATTTCAACACAATTCAAATAAACTTTGTTGAAGATGGAGAGGCTGGTAAGGGTCAGGAATTGAGTCACCAGTTGCAGAGCACCCAGCCTCTACTCAGCTTGTGTAACAGCTATATTGATACAATGTTTCACAAAGGTGCTGCCACTGGGTCATGAAGACATGACTGGACTCTCTCTTGTTTGAATTATGTGGCATGAGTGTTACTTTCTATTTCTCAACTGCAATCTGGATATTTATTTTCTTTCTCTGGTAAGCTGGTATGTGTTGCTTCCTAATCAGGGAGATGTGAATGGAGTTGGGATTATTAGCAAATACTCCAATTCTGATCTTGCACCCGATGGAGGTTAGTTGACCAAGCAACTGAAGGTTGGAACCTTACTTCTTGAAGTCAGCTTTTTCATCTTTGTTAGAGTTAAAGCTGCAATGTGGACTGGAAATAAATGGCTGCTATAGAAACCAAACATCAATAGATTGTTGATGAATAGGTAATTTATGATGACACTATCACCAAGGAAGAAGAAAGTCCATCACCACATTTCTTACAACAGTTTACTAATGATTGAGAAAAAAATAACGGGACAGTAAATAATCAGGTTATATCTGAATACACGAACAAATTTAAATGATATAAAAATAGCAGGGAGAAAGAGGACAGAATTGTGTGGGACCAATATTTTAGACAATGGAGAAACAACTTAAAAGTGTAGTTGTGGCGACAATTGAAGGTGGGGAGAAAAACATAAAATATTTAAGATAACAATGATATTAAAATAATCTTTCTGGATGAGAGCAATAGGATGGCAATCAGGGAAACAAAAGAAG